TCTTTGCAGCTGTTTTCGATCCAGGGGCAAGCAAATGATGTCCAATGATGTCCCTTTTGGGCACAGGCAGCATAAGGTCTTCCACTGGTCCAGCTGACTAATAATCTGTTGCTTTGCTTCTGTATGGTGAAGATAAGCGTTTCCCTTATAAGCCTCAAACTGCAACTGAGTGATGTGATGTAAAGCAGATAATCCCTGGAGGAGGAGTAAAGTGACTTATGACCTTAGGATATAAAATAGCTGAAGATGATGTTGTTCTTAATATCAAGTGGTTGAAATGACAGGTGTGGGAATTTGTGATCCATTGATATCATAAATCATTCATTGTTTAAAATAGAGGGATATTTCAAAAATTTTAATTCCCTCCATTGCTTTGAAAACATACATATATTCCCCTAGCCTTAATTTACAGACGTACACTAAACTGTAGAAACTGTAAGCCAAAAACCAAGTACATGCACACACACACACACACACACACACACACACACACACACACACACACACACACACACACACACACACACACGAGAATTGATTGACTATTCTGTCTCAATACATCTCTCCTTCTGTTACTTAGCAACCGGTGCCTGAGAGGATATGGATGCTTGAGAAGTTGTACTCCTGTGCATTTTTAGTTGATAAAGAGATATGATTAATGAAAACGTCCCCTTTTCTGTGTGGAGAAAAAATGACTCTGAAATAAAAGAGGAAACGTGGTCTTTGGATCTTACTGTTATCTCACTGTACAGTGTGCACACACTCTTGACTTCACAGCAGTAGAGTTATAATCAATGACAAGAATATCTTAATTTGGTTTTTCAGTGTTGTGCCAGTTGAGAAGGTAGATTAAATTGTCGAGTTGTTTTAATCAATATTAATTTTTAACATATTTGTTTTAGCGTCAATAAAGAAACCCAAAGTTAACAATATTTCACACACATCAATGTCTTATGTGCATTTTATATTCTTTCATGATCACAGACACTGTTGGGCTGTAAGGATGGTGTTTTTATATACTTGTTCTTGTTTAATTTACTTTTTTCTGACCTTTTTTAATAAGGGTGACTTGCATTGGTTCATCTTAAAAAAGCTGATAAAAGACACTTTGTAGACACACACCATAGTTCCTTCACAATAATGAACTCAATACAGTTAACTGCTGCCACAGAAGCAGGGGAAAAATATCCAGACCATGGCAATTTAAAGGTTCAATACAATCCTCAAACGCTGCTTACTAAATCTGTATCAACTTTTATACAAACACTCAAGATTAAATAAATTTTTTAAATGATACACTCCTTGGTTAAATTATTAAAACTGCTTCATGTGCTGAATTTTACTTTTACGTATTTAAACTTCACACAATTTCCCATATGCATAAAAATAATCTCACTCTGACTGACAGTAGTGTGTCCAATGTTGATTAAGAAAGAATGACAAAAAAATATGACAGACATCACGCGGATTTAAGATTAAACCTCTGTAGATGAAAAAGGACATGATTATAAAAAGGTAATGTGGAAAAATACCAAATTCTATTTTTAATACATTTTTTAATTTTTATTTACTATATTAGTGTGAAATGTATAGAAAATATTTTTTCTTTGTCCTAATACTGTAAACACCTTAGTTATCATAAGACCTACAGAAATTCTGTCTAGCCATAATTTCTCACAGAAAGGGAAAAAAATGTAATCAATGTTTTTTGTTATTTTTCTTCAGAAAAACATGCAATCAATGATGTTAGCTGGACAGCAGAGAGGCAGATAAGACTTTTTGTGGGTTAAACCACTAAGCTGCAGTGTCCTCTAATGATGCACACAATGCACTTCAGCACATGTGGACGATCAAGAGGAAACATCCTGAATGTTTTTGAATGAGATTTATTCTGTATGTTTTACATTTTTCTCTGTTAGATTATCACACACAACTTATCAGTGATCAGTCTTTCTCTGGCTCAGTTTGGATTTTGCTGACAGGGTGACTGTGAATTGTGTAAAATACTCGAGAGAAAAAAAACGTTGTCAGATTTAAGTAGGAAATAAATAACTAAATGAGAGAATTGCAGGCATTACATTTGATCTATATATTATAGTTGATGTGGTTTAACTATAAAGCAGCTGGATGCGTTAACGTCTGATGCCTCGTGTTGGCATTTCCTAGAAACACTCAGCCTGATCTCACTGTCAAAGTGAGGGAACGACAAGCACAGAGAAATGTGTTTATCCCAGAACCAAAATAACAAACATGTGATATTTTTTGTTACTGTGACGGAACAATAAACAAGACTTTTCTCTTTTTTCCCCCCAATAAAAGAAATAAGCAGAATATTTTGTTTTCTTCCTCATGGTGGAAAAAACCTCTTGCCTGTGAACCACATCAATGTAAGAAGCTAAATTAGAGGCCGATGCTGATATCATTATTAACTCCATTGGAAGGAGGAGGAAGCATACTGTTTAATGTCCCTCTGCTCAATAGATAATAAAACAACACAGCTGACGTTTATTTTTTCTCTACACATTCCTGGTGCCAGTCATCCATGTGCTACAGGTCGAAGCCTAACCACCGAAACGATCTCACACAAATGCCTCTGTGTTTAGCAAACAGCACCGAGTGAGATTGAAGTAATCGATGATCAATACATCGAACGCTGCGATCAATTTCTGAACTTTAGGGGGAAACAGCTTAACCATGGATCCTTATTATATCCAGAAATAACAGTATGGCTGGGCCGGTTTAATTTATAGCCTGTTTGTTAGAATTATTGTTGACCCGGTGCCCTTAAAAATTACATTTATTATTAAAATTTGTAAAATAAAAGTAGAAGAACTGCGGTGACAATCTGCGGCTCAGTCTTTAGCTTTAAGGTTTATTTGGGGTTGTACGACAGAAGGCCTGTAGCTCGCAGAGAGGAAAATATATTTGCTCGAAATAGAAGGTGAGTGTGTGTCCGTTTCTCACCGGTAATGTTATTAATTCATAAAAATTAAGAAGCCTTAAATATCCACCTATACTTTAAATATATAATTTCTATTCAGGTTAATTTTTAAATCGAAAAAAAATTTTCAGATAATTTTGCAACAAACATCTAACAGCAAACAATATTTGATTTATTTCTTTATTCTATAAATTAAATTACAGTATTGACTATAAGTTGTAAAACATAATTTAACTGTATTTAGTAGGCTACTTCTACTTGATCCTCGTCAGGGTTCAATTAGAGGTAGAATTTGCCATTCTTTCTGGATATGTTCTGTTAATATTTAATGAACCAACTTAATAACACGGATGGAAATAACTACAGGCCCACATATCGTTCTTTTCGACTGATCGCTTCTTATATTTGTCCTGTGCAGCAAACTGAATCACTGAGAACAATATAAAAATCTATAAAAATTAAAAAGACCAACTATTGACTCAACAAATTGGTACAACTGTTTTAAAGCTTCTCTCAAATATCCAGCACACACACACACACACACACACACACACACACACACACACACACACACACACACACACACACACACACACACACACACACACTCGGATAAAACGAGCAGCATCTGTATATCGGCTGAAGAGGAGGATGGTACACTCATCAATCACCTGCACCGAGCCCGGTGCCAATCTGCTCCTGGAGCTGACCGACTGTTCATTTATTTCTGTTAGATAGTGAGCAGAGAGATTAGACAGCTAACACCCTCAACACATGACTGTCTGCAAATTAAATATAAAACATGTAAAATATACAAGATCAAATAAAATAAATATAGATTTCCATTGTTATCTGTTTTATTATTATTATTATTATTATTATTACTACTACTATTATTATTACTAGTGGTAGTTGTAATATAACCTACTCTGAAAACACTGTAAAAGAGGTCTTTACACTTCTGCTACTTTACATTACTACATTTTTAGAGATCCAAGTTATTGATTTATATAAAGTCACAATGGAACCAACTGCCTCATTTGTTTACTTATTTATGTTAAAATAGGCCCCCCATTGTTATAAATGCTGTTCAAACTAATCTCTTGGCCTGTCGCCTTCGGACCAAGACATTTTTTAATGTGCCATCGAAACAAATACAATAAACACAACAATATGATTTAGTTCGAAGACAATTAAAACTGAACTTCCTCTGTGGACTTGGTGAACTTCGCACAAACCAAACCAGCAGGCTGTTCTCTCATTGGTCTGCAGCGCTGGGATCCTAACTTACTTTGTGACCTCCTTCACCCCCTCCCATCCCCCTTTTACCGGCCTGCGCCACGTCATTAATCTCTGTCAATCAATACTTCGATCAGGTTTATCACTAAGCGCATAAATGCAAAACCATACAGTCCGTGGGAAAACAAAGTTTATCCGCGAGGAACTCCTGTATCCGGGATCTGATACTGACTGTATTATACACGTGTTCCACGTCAGGCCGTCACCTGTCTGACTGTCACACGGGGACAGGTGCACTCAAGCTGCACGCGCGCGCCCGCCTACAAACGTCATAGGCACTATGTAACATATTTACATTTTCTCAAAACTAAATGATACCCAGGGTCATAAAGGTGTGCGATATCCGGTGTAAGACATTGTGTTTTCTCCAGCCGGGGTTTCCTCCCAGTGAGGAAGACTATTAAGAAAACTCTGCTCGTACCCGCCCCTCATTTTAAATACACAGAGGCGCGCGCCCATCCCTCTGACACGCGGCTCAGCCTGCTCTTAGTGGAAGCGCTGTTGGACCAGAGATGAGATATAGCCCTGGAGAGCTCCCATCCACATCAATGCAGAAAGCGCCACGGCGCCGCGGAGACGCTCGGTTCTGTACCTTCCTCGGAACATCAGAACTGATCTATACCACGCTGGATTGATCGGAGAATTTGAATCAATGGATTGGCATTCAAACGGTTTGGTCATTTTATCGCTCCAGGAGGGCTAGGGGGGTAAGAGAGAGCGCGCGTCCCTGAGTGAGCGTGAGAGTCAGGAGTGAGAGACAGGGGGAGAGGGTGGGGAGGGTGGGACAGGGGAACATATATGCTTTCAGCTATGGAGCTCACCATGGAGAATCTTCACAGCGTCTCCTCTCACTCCCAGGCGGGAGACCTCATGAGCTCTCCGCACGCGCGGCCGTCGCCGTCCCCCAGCTCCACTCCCCGAAATCTGCTCTCGCACGCTCCCGGCTCGCGGTCAGCCATGGTGTCCGGCATGGCCTCGCTCCTGGAGGGCTCCGGCGGGGACTACCGGACGGACCCGTCTGCGCTGCCCGGACACCTGCACCCGTCCATCAGCATGTGCGAGACCGGGATGAGCCTTAGCAACACGTACACCACCCTGACACCTCTGCAGCATCTACCTCCCATATCCACCGTCTCGGATAAGTTTCACCACCCGCACTCACACCACCACGCTGCCGCCCATCAACGACTCTCCGCGGGGAACGTCAGCGGCAGCTTCACGCTGATGCGGGAGGACCCCCGGGGGCTCGCCTCCATGGGCAACCTATACAGTCACTACCCCAAAGAGATGTCTGTGTCCGGTATGGGCCACGGCTCGCTCTCCCCGTTGTCCAGCGGGCTGGGCTCTTTGCACAACTCCCAGCAGTCGCTCTCAGCCTACGGTCCGAGCGCGCACCTCTCCACCGACGCCAAGATGCTCTCTCCGGTGTCAGGGTTTGAGTCCCACGCCTCCATGCTGTCCCGAAGCGACCAAGAGCACCTGGCTAGGAGTTTAGGGGGCCACGGCCACGGCATGATCTCCAACCTCAACGGCATGCACCACCACCCGCACAGTCACCTCCACTCCCAGGCGAACGGCGCAGTGATGCTGGGGGACCGGGAGAGGCACAGCCATGGAGCCGGGCAGGGAGTAGCAGGGTCAGGCATTCAGGCGGAGGAGATCAACACAAAGGAAGTGGCTCAGCGGATAACGGCCGAGTTAAAGCGGTACTCAATCCCGCAGGCCATATTCGCCCAGAGGATCTTGAGCCGGTCGCAGGGAACCCTCTCAGACCTGCTACGGAACCCCAAACCCTGGAGTAAGCTCAAGTCAGGCCGGGAGACCTTCAGGAGGATGTGGAAGTGGCTGCAAGAGCCCGAGTTTCAACGGATGTCTGCTCTCCGGTTGGCCGGTAAGACACTGTCCTCTCAGTATTATTAGTTCACATTAAAACGGATCAATCTGAAGTAACAGCCCGGTCACCTTCCACCGTTATTTTCCAAATGATTAACAGGCACACTAAACGCGCGCAGGCCTAAAAGATTCAGCACCACGGACAGTTCAACCGGCTAAAACACAGCGCGCAGAGGCACGGCGGCTTCAGCTCTCCTCTTTAACATTAACTCCTTATCTCCTAAAACCTGAAACAAATATAGATTGTTTATCTAAATAGTCTAACTGTAGTGTATTTACAGCTCCAGAAAACAAAGATGTTTGCAATGATTGCTTTGGGCGTGTACATTTGCGTTTACGCGGGCTGTTGTAGATTTGTAGGTCTATATTTTTGATCGGCACACAGCAAATCGCCATTGATTCACAATAAACCTCGAAATAGTTGCCCTCCCACCCACGCCTTTTTTTTTTTCTTTCACCCTCTCTCTGTGTCCGACTATAAACACACACAGCAGCCGGTGGTGGTGGGGCTTCTGGGCCAACTAGTTGCGCTGGAGAAGCGGGGTGACCCCAGGCTGCCTGATCAATACGCCAGTTCCCACTCTCCCTTTTAAATGTGGCACAAGGATCAATACTCGTATCGGAGCTGAAAGACGCAATAACCGCACGGTCTCTCCGGCTTTGCATTTAACACTCAGTAGTAAAAGCTCTAAATTTAGATCAGGTATGATCGCAGGCACTTATTGTTACCGGCGTTTTGGAGGACAGACGTTTCTTCAACAGTGGAGCAAAATGTGAATCATGAATTTCATCCTGATTTCACTGGATTCAAAAACCTTTAAAACAGTGACTATACTGTTCCCTAGTCATGGATATAATTATTATAATTACAGATGTAAAAAAAACAAAACGTTAAAAACATGGATTGTACTATTGAATGTCTAACCCAAGCTGGCCTACATGATCCCTAGATCTATTTCAAAGCAACCTTAAGCTGCATGAACTGTTGTGATGAAATATTGATTGTAACTGGGATGGGGATTGGTAACAGGGACCAGTATAGGCAAGAAAATATAGAGAATAGAGTTCTGATTGATACCCAGGGGAGGAAGTAAAGGAAATGTTGCCTTATATTGCCTGAAAATGTGAGAATAAGGGAGTTCACTGTTGGTTTCTATAACTCAGAATAATAAAAACTACAGTATGTCAATGCATTACAGTAAAATACAACACAGTTATACCTTTGATATCCTTATTTTTAGGAGGACAATCCATCACAGTTTATGGACAACAACAAACACTACAGTATCTTTACAAAGACCTAAAAGTATTAACTCGCCTTAGAAGGTTTTATGTTTTATTGTTTTAAAACATTGAACCAGAGGGGTTTTAATGTGTTTTTACACAGATGAACAGGAAAACAGGATTTACTTAATATAGCTATTGGCACTGTAGATAGATAGATAGATAGATAGATAGATAGATAGATAGATAGATAGATAGATAGATAGATAGATAGATAGATAGATAGATGAGGATTAGTAGCTGTGGCTTTGAGTGTCATTAATAGTGTAGCTCTGTCCTTTCAGTGTTTGCCTGGCTTTGCACATAGGAGATCAATAAGGCCGTTTCCCCTTCCCAACCCCCTTCTTTCTCCCACTCCCTGGTGCTCTCCCTCTCTATTTTTCTTTCTCTCCCTCTCTCTCTCTCTCCTTCTCTGTAGCATATGACAATAATATCACTAATCTTTCTCTGGTTAACCTGGCAACAGGCAGGCAGGTTGTTTTGCTTCAGGAAGCCGGCGCCACGGAACAAAACAAAACAAAAATCATTGACTGAGGGCGAGGAGAGGATGAATGTGAGCTGTTTCATGAAGTCAAACAATGCACACAGCCATTTTCCACTCTCCCTGCTCTCTTACCAGAGCAATCTTTTAATGCCCATCAAAACTGTGCCATGAAAGATTAATATCAGTCCCATATTTTCTGAGGAATCCAAATGGACCAAATTGGGGTGTACAAAAATGCAGTCTGCACGGCTTTAAGTGCAAAAGCGATGAAAAGCAAAACTGACATGTGGAAAAAGAGCTGGAAGAGCTGGGAGATGCCATTGATTGAGTGAGGGCAGGCAGGTTTGGGCTTTGTGTGAACAGCCAGATAGAGGCAGGGTAGTGAAAGGATCAATACCAACCTTAATAATTGATAAGTATAAGGGAGACGGAGGGGAGAGGGGAAGAAAGAGAGAGGCAGAGAGTGGTGGTGTTAGCGCTTGTAGCAGCATCTTCTAGGTAAGCAAAGTCAAATCTGTGGTTAACAGCTGAGGACCACACACCAGTCTCAAACATCACGCCAGAGGGTGTGTAAGTGGTTTTGAAGAACGCTGTTTACAACCCAAAACATCCTGTGAAATATCAACAGCATGGATCTGACAACAGCAAGGATGCTGCAGACGTCCAAGTCAGATCAGAACATATTTAAGAGGCTGGAAAAGAAGCCTTGCTGACAATTTGTGACAAAAGAACTGCAACATTTCTAGTGGAATCAGGGCAGGGAGGCTGGTATTTGAACACACACGCAAAAAAACATCAGAGCTCAGAGCATCTTACAGTAGACAAAGAGCATCAGAGCATCCAACTGCCTATTGAGTCGTAGTAATGAGCGCTTTCTGCTCATGTCAGCGAATCCTCAGAGCAATCCAAGGTTGTGATGTCATTTGATTTTAAAGGTTGCGATGCTTTATGGGGTTTGTAATGCGTCTTTATGGAGGCATGCAGAGCACATTTCACCCAATGTGTGTGTGTGTGTGCGCATGCATGTGTGTGTCTGTGTGAGTGCTGCTACATGCACATGTGTGTGTGACTGGGTTATAGAGTGTGTCTGCACTATACATTGTTCAGGCTTATCTGACTCACTCTGAATCGGTATTGATTTCCTCTCTTCTGCTCTCTTCGGCTCTCTCATTCCTCTCTCTCTCTCTCTCTCTCCTTCCCTCCCTGCCTTCCTCCTTCCTCCCCCCTTCTTTCTCTTCTGGCTCTGTACCAGTATCAGCAAAAGCAGATCCTTTGCCTTTCTACCCTTATTTCATTTCTGCTCTCACTGTAACAGACAGAAGTCATTTTGCATAGCCGCTACTGGCACACTGGTGTGAAATATTTTGACACTCAGTATGAATGAGAGTGAACGTGTCCTGACTTAAGGAAACATAGACTTTAAATTAAAGCATAGTAAAGTGTTATATAACTTGATACAAATCATTAGCTTTACATTACTTTCATGACATAGAAACTCATCAAACTAGATATTTGTGGCACTTGTGACCTCCAAGTCTCAGTTCTAACCAATCATATTATAATTATTTTAACTTAAAACTATAAAAATATGATGCAGGATGTAACATTTAGTTTAAAAATGTATTTCTTCAGTGATGATGTAAAAATATATAATAATTCCCTACATTTTGCCTACTATTGAGAATAAATTACCTTAAGGTCTCCTGATAATAATTAACATAAATATGTAAACAACATGCAGACAATAATATTGTTGATTTGAAGCATCTCTTAATATAAGATCTTACAGTAATATATAATGTGGAGCATCCTTACTTTGCTTTGGTAAATCTTCATTAACTACCTCAAAGGCCTCCTGATGCTGAAGGGACAGTTCCCTCTGATCTCTCTCAGGAGCACATTGGTGTTAAAACCTTTAAAGTTAGATTAGTCAGGGTCAAATTACAACGTTTCACCTTTGTTGTCCATTAGGGGGGATTTATCATACAGAAGCTTGTTTCAATTTTACAGCTCTGCATGTGTGTTTGTCTATTTTAGCAGAGCCTAATTTTAGTGAGACCTCATCAGTTCCATAATTTCCAATTTAGCCAATTTTATTTATTAAAATGTCAAGAAGAAGAAACCGACACAGACTTCGTTTATATTATAAATAAATTCATTCTTAATTAAACTCCAGCACGATGGGTATTTTTTAAACCTAGATTTATATTTAAAATATTTTTTTCAGTTTTTGTTTATACTCTACAACTTCACACTCTATTAATATATATATATATATATATATATATATATATATATATATATATATGTGTGTTATATATCGGTACAGGCCGCACATTTAGTATTTTATGCGAACGCTGTTCTGGTCCTCATCAAAGTAAAAGCTGTTTCCGATAATAAAATTAAAAAAAATAGAATCATCTTCCAGCCAATATAAACCAAAAACGCCGCATTTAAATCTTTTTTATATCCAAAATTTAAATCAGTCCTCATCCCCAATAAAATATGTCTGTTATATTTTATAATAAAACGTTTCTCCATTACATTTGACTGTCTCGTCTTCAGTTCTTGTACGAGAACTCGTTTTATTCTCTTCACTATTCACTTTCACCGTGTTCAGGTTCTTTAAAATCAGCTGCAAATGTCTGACAGAAGCCGGTGCTCTCTGGAGTTAAAATCGACCAATTTATTTTGAGTTGTTTTGAAGTAAATAAATATAGAGTACACAGTTCAGTGAGGAAAAACACATTTAAAAAGTAGCTCTGGGCTCGCTGGCTGTTTATAGACTACACCAATATCTGATAGGCTGTAAAGATGCCGATTACTCGTCTCAACAGGACAACTCAGAGCTTTACACTGACAAATAAACGAAGAGCTTTCAAATAATCCAATCCTAATCAATTGATAGTATTTTTTTTAGACTGAAGGGGCGGTTTGGTTTCCCCGCTGCTGTGTGTTGGTGCGGGTTAATGGTGATTTGCTATTCGGGCGTTTTTACTTCCCAGCAATGAATAGGCCTATAATATGATCAATATAATCAATAACCGTACATCTGAGAGGTGTGACAGAGAGTGATTGACGCCAAACTGTTTCTCGCCTGCAGTAGTCCGTCCAGGGCGGGAGAGGGCCCGTCTCAGCGGACACAAAGCCCGATCTCATCCGTCCGTCCAGGCGTCGACTAGCAGCAGCACGGTGCGGTTAGTTCACCGTCTGCCCCCTCATGCCCCATCTGCACACACACCACACACACACACACACACACACACACACACACACACACACACACACACACACACACACACACACACACACACACACACACACACACACACTGATGTCAATAAGTTAGAGGTCTTTAAGTAAAGACACACATCATATGTTCCTTCAGCTTTAAAGATTTTGTTTACATTGGTAGTTGTCCAATATAAGGTGATGCCTTTTGAGGATTAGAATCATGTTAAACCTGCTTTTTGATTTTTACCACATCATGGGATATAGATAGATGGTATTTTAAGCGTGACTCACATCCACTTATTGGCTTTCATCTCTGTTTAATCGAGCTGTGATACCTTGAGGACATGCATGCCATCTGAGAATCTCATGTTTCCTCCTGCACATTCAACATTTCAAAACACAGCAGGCAGAGAGTCTTCAGACAAAAATCCTATTGTTAACTGGAGTCTGGAGTCAGTGTTATTCAGTCTGTAACACATTTTATCTATTGTCTTTATTAAGTGGCAATTAAGGTGGAAATATAAAGTCCATCTTAGTGACAAAAATGTGTTTTTCCTATTGTTACTTCACTTGGCTGTTTGAGCGTCCCTGTGCAGAATGATGTATGTGCACACACTTTCTTCCTTCATCTGCTGAAGGGGGGGAAAGTCTCTCTGTGTCAGTCATGGGTGAATATGCAAGTTATACAAGTGTGATGTGGAAACTTGAAGCTTTCTGTCCACCCCGAGTTTGGACTTTTTAGTCAAGTAGGAGACAACTTGTGTCCAGTATACAACTTTTGATCTGGAGAGTATTTGCATATTGATAGATTATGGACATTTCTATGAAGGAAAAAAAAGGAGATTTTAATGAGATAATTTAACTTTTTTTGTGGAAAAACATCTGACAAAAATTACTATTATTTCTATATGTCTTAAAACATATTTAAATGACTGTAAATGAGAGATTATTGTCCATTCCAGAGATTTTTTTCAGCCATCTTGCTCTTAGCTGTAGATTTCTGGGCTCTCACATGCACTGTAGTATAACAGACACAAGTAAACCATCATCCACCTACTTCCCTTCTCATCTTCATGTTTTAAGTGCACAGTCTTATAGACAGTGAAAGTGGAGGGAAGTAGAAACAGCAGCCACTTAAGTGATAAAGCAGAGCGGCTCTTAAAAGGAGGCACGAGCACAACTTAACATGCTGCACAGCCAGTAAGTTAATCTTTGGATCAGCAAGAGGTTGAGATTAAGCAAAGTGGCAGTTGCATCGTTGACACCAGGACATATGAAAGGGACGACATGAGCAAGTGCCACTTGAGACTGCTTGTCTCTTCAGAAAAGCCCATTTGGTAATGAGGCAACTAAAGATAGCCTACAACGGTGTGGTTCTCGTCTCAAGAGAGGTCGCTTTAATGAGCAGCTCCCTCTTTACCTTCCCTGTGGTCCTATTCATTGCTGTGGAAAGGGGGGTGTTCGAGAGGGCAAGAAGAGCCTCATTTGAAATGTATCTATTGATTATCTGAAATATGTATTGACCAGGCACAGGCCCTGTGCTAACTCCTTGGTTAGGATGGCAGCTGTGTTGCTCTGCAGGCCTCGGAGCTGCATTCGAGCTGATGGAGGAGAACCAGAGTGGTGTTGGCATTGTAAAATGGCCGGTAGCACAAGTTGTTCGAAAACAGGCATTACATATTAAATTATCACTATATTAGCACTAGCATTCAGTCATTACATTAGGGAGTATTGAGTTTGGTTTGAGACAGCACTTAGGGAGCCGCGAGGAGATTCTGGCATGGCTGGGCCTGAACCAATTGAATAAACGTTCCATGAAATGGTTCTGAAGTGCGGATCAATCAATATGGGGGCTATCAATCTGAGGGCAAATTAAAACAATTGAGAAAAACAACAAGAGGAAAACAGTTGAAGAAGTGGAGGAAGTCCGGAGTGATGTATCTGTGGAGGCTGTAAACATACAACCTACATTTTGCTGAGGAAAAAAAAAATCTTGTTTATTAATTATGCTTTGCTTGCAGTAACAAAGCATGAACAATGGCAAGTCAAACACATGCACGCTCACACACAGGCATGCATACACATGTGCACATTTATATTGATCCCCCCCCCACACACAGTCAAATCTGTTTACTGCTGTTGTCTAAACCTGCTGTAAAGTCATCAATCATTTGCATACACCACCTCCACACTGCAGCCAGCCCATCTCCCTCTCTCCCACCTTTTTCTCCTCTCATCTTTCCCTTCCATCCTCACCCACACACTTCAACACTGGGATAAATATCATTCCTCGTTGTTTCTTTCTCTCACGCACGCCAGCAGCACACATCTCGTGCACGCGGACGCACTTTATTTTTGTAAATGTCCCTTTTTATTTATAACATTATGAGAGGCATTCCTTTGTCCTCCTCCAGAGCTCTCAGACTGGATGGCTGCCACTCTTTTCCGCCACATCTCCTTTGTTCTTCCACAGATAAACAATTTCTCCTCCGTCTGTCTGTCACAGAAGCGCGCTCACGAGCTCTACTCCCCAGTGCGAGCAAGCGCACGCGCGCACGCCACACGTAGCCTACACACGCACACACACACATGCACCTCGGTCTCGCGGATCGATGGGGATCGATCGGGTGGGGAAGGGAGCCCTGATTACTGGACCACGTGTTCGGGAGAAAACCGCGGAAAATCGATCATTGCAGCTTTTTAGGGCAGCAGAACAGAACAGACTCCCTTCAGTCTCCACAGCGAGAGCCGAGCCTACTGACGGTGCATCCAGCCACAGCAGACCGCTTCTTTGTCAGCATTTCACATCACGCTCCTCCAGTTTCACACACAGACCCACAGTGGAAACTCTTTATCCGCCATAAACCTCTTTTTCTTTTAGATAATTGTATCATTAGACCGGGAATTAAACAGAATAATAACAGTTAAACTCGTCACCAGCTACATTGGCCGTCTGTTCTAACTTTAAAGGACCCCATGGTTGGTTTTCCATATTGTAGGCTGCCCATTATCCACAAACTGTACAACCCACTTTACCCCACTGATGACCATTTTTAAAGTCTCCTATAAGTTTTTTGATTGATTTCCTATCTTCCAGGTGGCCGCTGGTTTCAGTTCATTTCACTGCACTTTGAAACTGGCTTTGAATAGGGAATCCATCCTGATGAACACTTGTTTTTTTTATGTTGTCATGTTCAACTACTGGGACCATTAAAAAAAAAACCTCTATCATTTGTGCAGCATTGAAGGACAGTTCAACAATTGGGTATTGATACTCAACTGCTTAAAAGTATGATTTCCACAAGCTATAGGCCTATCATAATATATAATATAAATATAAACAAGCAACAACATCAATTGTGAAAATCATGCTTGTTTTTCTATACATAAAAATAGCTGTTTAACTACTGAGTCTCAAATCTCTGAGTGTTTTTGAACACACTGGCAGGAAGAGCTTTCAAAGCAGTACCTGTTTGAAAGGTAATTTGAAAATTAAGACAACTGTTACCTGTCGAGCTAGTTTCAGACCTCCTTGAGTCGAGCATATGCTGCCTGAAAGGTAGGAAATCAACCTAAAAAGTTTAAGTATGGCAATGAGCAATAATACAAGATAACATTTTAAAGCATAAAACATGCAAAAGCCATGGTAATGGCCATTAAAGGATCCCAAGGGTGGTCTGGTGCTCTGCTTGGAAAGCACTGGTTTAGGCGAGATTGATCTTTTTAAAAGTGGTAACGCGATCCGATATCTTAGTTTTCAGAGTTTGAAAGTCAGAAAGACGTTTTAATTTGGTCTTTTTCACTCACTAGTGTCAACTCACTCATTGCTTTCCTTTCGGCCTTTCCACTTTTCCTATTCTCTCTTTTGTAACCTGTCACATGTTACATGTTATTTTGTGATTGGTTCCTTTCTACCTGTATCATACAGTAATTATGTATATTTACATTTTAACAGTGAGCTAAACACATTCAACTGAAATGTTATAACTCTCATAACACTAAAACATTCATGCATGGACACAAACATTTGCTTTCACTCTCTGATTTGCCCTTTAGCCATTTTAATTCTTCCCTTTATTTCATCATTAGGTGTTTAAGGCATCATACCCTTACCTTGTAGCCATATGTTCCATTATTTATTCCCTTCAACCCTGTATTTTTAAGTCAGTAAGGAATATTTAATGTTGATGACAATAAAACTTCTCTCTTTTATTCTGTCCTCTTTCCTCCTTCCCTTTGTGCCTCCCCTTTCTCTCTCCAGCATGTAAACGTAAGGAGGAGGACAGAGGACGAGAGCGCAACCAGGTGCCAAAGAAGCAGCGACTGGTCTTCACCGACCTGCAGCGTCGCACCTTGGTAGCCATCTTCAGAGAGAACCGCCGCCCCTCCAAAGAGATGCAGGTCACCATCTCCCAGCAGCTGGGCCTGGAGCTCTCCACCGTCTCCAACTTCTTCATGAACTCACGCCGCCGCTGTACGGACCGCTGGGACACAGAGGAGCACAGTCATGGTGTGCACGGCCACGGCCATGTGCACACTCCTCATGGAAACAGCAACAACAACAACAACGCCTCACCGATCCAACCCGGTACCTCTTCTGCAACCACTTTCTCTAAGGCCTGACGGTGGCAGGATGGCTGAACAGATGCATGGAGGATGGAGGGGGGCAGGCGGTGTAACTTTAAATCCTGCAGAGCTACAGGATGTGTAGGTCCAGACTACTCATCTGATTCATCTGTTCAAAGTGCTGATGACTTGTGCAGATGAATCAGATCTTCTCAATGCTCCATGTGTTTTATTTTAATCTGAATGTGACTCTTAAGGGGTTAACGTGCATTTCAAATTGTGACTCTTCAAACCAAAGATCCAGTAGCTTTAAGAGCGTGGCTCTTAGCAAATCTGACTGAATACCAAAGAAAATCCAGCCACAATAAACCACACTGTGGGTCTGTGTTCAAGCCTTGAAAATGGAGGATTTTGCTTTAAGGAACCTGTGCTGGTTGGCCTGTTGTCAGGATGTAAACACACCAAAGATTCACTCATGACAGGGAACCAATAGCTTTAAGACAGGAAACCTTAAGCGGCCTCATGTTGATTGCTGACAAATCAGCCAGAAATCAGACAGCAGATGTGTGTGCAGGGCCATGATCAACCACTCCTGATTTCAGTAACAGACACTGAGGCTGATTGAAGGGTGCGTTTGTGTGTCAAGTGTCTGTGAAACGCTCTCGGCAGGTCCTTTGACCTGCTAACCACATACCACCTCTGCATCGCTGCGTGAGCGCGGGGGTGTTTGTAATTCCTCTGCAGTGATTTGGCCCCACTACATGTCAGAGTAACAGCGCCACCTGCTGTCCATTTAAATGACATCTGAACATGTTCTGAGCATGTAGTTGCAGCTCGTATCTCCAACAGCAACAACAGCCTGCAGTGTAGATTTCTATTAGGATAAAGATACCAATACTCTATATAAGTGTAGCCCTGAAACAAACTGATAAAACATGATTACTCACAAACCCTTTGATACATAGTTGAATGTTTGTTTCTTAAGACTCTTGTCTCGTTGTATGGCGACATGGCCATAGACTGCGTAGCCGCTTGAGAGGTTACTTTTCAGGTTACAAAAGGAGAACAATCAAAACGGGATGACACACATTAAAAAGTGTTGTGCCCGAGTGTAGGGAGTGAGGGAGTGAGGGAAGGGGGTCTGCTCTGTTCTAGTGGCCAAATGCAGAGGTCAAATGTCACAATATATAGTAGGATCCTGAGTGCCAATGATGTTTGCCTCTTTATGATAATCAGAGAACAGGTGCAGCCCGCTCCATCACCGTGCGCCCAGGTGTGTCTGGCCTATGTCATTACAACCGTCAAACTGCAAGCACTACACGGGCACGTTGCCTATTCCATACCTCAGAAAAACAATGATGTGACTGACGTGAAACACAATGGAAATGTCTGTAAATACTCTTTAATTTGATCTCTTTCTCTGTCTTATCTATCCTCTATTTATCTACCCTCTTGCAACTCCCCACCCCCCTCCGTTGTGTCTTTCTTTCATTTTTCCCTCCTTAACTATTGATGCGGGTAATAATTAGTACCATAGACACATGGTTTCTCTCTTGTGACTATTGTGCTATGTTGTGCTGAGACTATATGTAAAGAAGCACCTTGTCGACGAAATGTAAAAACTTAAAGATGAAAAAAAAAAAAAAAGAATCAACATGTCATAGACTGATCCTATGCACAGACTAGGAAGAAATAAGTGAGGAAATGTGCATATTTGTGAATACCTGTGTGATGGACTAGATGGACCTCTTCCTTGATCTCTGAACTTTGAGCCCTTTGAACTGGACTGTCACTGCATTCCTCTGCTGATGGTGTCTTTTGGTTACCATGAGAACCGCCTCATTTCTTTGTGTTTTTTTTCGTGGGCAAAGCCACTTCTTGTGTAGCATCTTCTAGCGGGAGATAATCATATTAGAGAGGAGACGCAGACAGGAGGAAGAAGGGTGCAGCAGGGGAAGCAGGAGCATCAGAGGCCCATCATCAGACTGGAAGGAAACATTTAAGTGGCATTCCTCCGTAGTTTGGGTTCTGGTCGTTACGTAGTGCACTATAACAGATTCCCTGCTGGAGGTGTCGATTAAGACTGTAGTTTTTCAGAGCAGATGTTTGAAGCTCAGATCCAAAGCAGAGAGTTAGTGATGAAAACTGTTGTGTGTATGTGGCTACCTCACAGAATAGAGTGGACTGTGACACAGCCATCAATACCAAAGATACTTCAAAGCCTGCCGTGTTCACACTGGACTTGGGACGTGCAAACACACACACACACACACACACACACACACACACACACACACACACACACACACACACACACACACACACGCAGATGCAGATATGCTTCTAAGTGCACATACACACTTCCACAGAGCAGTCGTGCTGCATGGCAATCACATGGAGGTGTTTGTTATGTGGGAAGAGTTGAGTGCCTTTTTCCTTCAACCAGGGGGTTGGACTGCTCTGCACACACACACACATAAAGTGAAGGGGGGCACACACTGGGTGAAGGGGGAGCAGCACAGGAGGGGTCCTCATGACATAAAGAAGCCTCTCTAGTTTGAATTTAAAGAGCACTTTTTTCACACAATGAGGGGGAAAAAAGATTGTTTACCGCCACCATTTTTTTTGCATATGTTTTTACATGCTGGTGAATCATCTCACCGAGTCCTCTCCACGATACACACATGCACACACACTCCCACCAGAGATATTTTTGTGTAATTTGTAATCCGAGTGTAGGTGTGTGTGTGTATCTGACTGTTTACAAAGCCCTCCCGCTCTCTCATTGGCTCGCATCTAAACTTAACCTGTGTAGCAACCAATGATCTGTCAGTACAGAAATGATGAGACCTTTCCTCTCCAAAAAGATACATGATGCCCGCCGGTGATCCCCGCCCATCCAAACCCTCTTCGCTGGTCCCTCTGTCCAGGGTAGCATCACAACGAGGCAGGCATGTGTAGACAATTCATCTTGATATACCTCAAATCTTTATTGTAAAGGTTAATGTAGTGAAACAATAATGTTTAGCAATGAGAGTGACATTAAAGTCACAGCAAAATGATTGTCCGTTTTTTATTTTATTTTAATTTCTTTAAAGGAGCGTGTGCAGTATAAACTGTTTTATGGTTTGACATCTTTTGAGTTGTTTAATTAATTTATTGTTTGTAGGTTTGCACGTTGTCCTTTTTTGGAATTAAGAGAAAGATTAAAAGGAGGAGTAAGAAATAGGGAAGAATAGGGTATAGGGAATACATAATAATACATGATGAAGTAGCAGTAGGAGAGGAGGAAATCAGTGACGAAAGATTATGAATAAAAAGAAAGGTGTGGTAATTGAGAAAATTGTTTAAGATCAAGGTAAAAATGACACATCAAGGACACTAATTTCTGATTTGCATCACTTTTTGGCTTATTTTGTGTTTAAAGATTGTCTCCTATGTGTGTTAAAGTGATTCCCATATAAAAAAAAGAGAACCAACCAAAGCACCTCTGTCATTAGGGTTGGGATGAGCGATTCTTTTATGCATGGATACTATATAAGTGTATATAAACTGCAGGATGAACTGTACCTCTACAGGTGGAGGAGAGGGGGAGAAACAGGGAAAAAACAACTGGATTTTGGTTTCCAAGTAAACATTATTTTCAGCTCTGTGCTTTTATGTGCTGTTTGTGTATTTGTATAAAATATGTGTATTTGTATCCACTTCATCAGTGTGTCTTTCCTCCTGTTGTAACCCTTCCCTTTGTGTGGAAATAGTCTTCACACTGTCTGTATCTACTCTTTGTTTCATCACACAGGTGTGAGTGTGACTTTGTGTGTGAGCTCCTTTGTTGTGTTCCTGTATTTCAGCTCATCCGTATTTAATCTAAATTCGATCGACCTGGGTGTTTGTCTGCTTTGGGAGCTGGCCGAAGCATAAACACACAGACAGCCAGTCATCAAAATGGCGTCATTTGCTTTTTTTCCTTCAGACAGACCTCAGAGCTCTGGAAGCCCCAGTGTCGATGTTCTCTCCCTCTTCCCTTACCAATCAATCAATCAGAACCAAGTGTCTTTGTGATGGTAGAAGACAATCAATTTCAAATAGAGCAGAGACAAAAAAAGAAGGAGGGAGAGAGAAAGAGAGTGATGGAGGAGGGCAGAGAAACTGACTGGACAGGAGAGATGGGAGGGAAGAAGCAAAGATGGCTCTCAGAGAAATCAGTGTATGTGTGTGTGTGGTCACCTTTAACCTCTGCAGAGTGACCTTTACGGTGGGGGCTAATGCGCCCAGGACCCTCCCCCTGGCTACGGTGGAGGTGGTGGTGGGGCAAACTTGTTAAGTGGACATCCAATCGAACATGTTGATCAAATGCCTGCACACATATGCACAGAATGCACACACGCACGCACGCACGCACACACACACACACACACACACACACACACACACACACACACACACACACACACACACACACACACACACACAAACAAAGTGGTAACCAAGACAGAGAGCCTTTCTTCTGATCTTCATCTCCCAGTAACACAGCGAGTCTGTCAGTCACGTTGGTCTGCCTTCAGGGTGACTCAAGTAATAACTGGAACAAATAATACACCAAGTGAAAACCAGTATGGGTAAATTGTGTTTTGACCAAAACAAATAAAGAAACTAGCAATTGGCTGACTGGCTTTTCATTTTCTGTGTGATGCTTTCTTACTACGGTGCTCTGTTGCCATCTGGTGGTGAAAATAAATGTATGTACACACCCTTGGCCACATACTGGTGTGTATGTTCAGTATGGGTGCAGCATCAGGGCCAAAACTAGGATTTAACTAATACTGAGTACCCCACACCACCCTCACCCCAAAATTTGGCCAGAAATCAGAAATAAAATCTCTATATTTTAAAAATAATTAGATTTTTTATATTGTAGATACCCAGTGAACTGTTTAATTAAACTTTGTGTAGATTTAATTTTCTCTGGGGAGAATGCTGAAGCTGTATTTTATTTATCAATTGGCCATAAAAGAACTCCAATATATTGGCTTAAAAAAAATCACTCAGAAAATACTCACCGTATGTTTTTATCCGGTTTAGCAGGTTGCTAAAGTCAGGGCTGATTTTTGAGTCACGAGTCCAATACTGCTCTTCTAAAAATTCTGACCAGAAACCCTGAAATAAAAGTGTTTTGATTATATGGATTTGTTATTTTTTTCTCACTATTGTTGCCAGCACTGTCCGATCAAACAATGCCCACAAAAACCTTTGCTCTTAAACTCTTAATTCAATTATAATTCAAATTTAATTAAAATCTTAATTTTTTGTGTAAATTTGATTGTTGCTTATTTTGTCATTTTAGTTCTTTGTATTATTAATATTTCTGAAAGCTTGTTTCAAAGCCTTCTCCTGCCGAGAGAGGAATGTCTCTCTCGGCAGGTGGTGGAGAAATATAATGTGGTATTTATTTGTCAAACTAGAAATAGTCAATGCAAAATACAAAAAGAGTCTAAAAATACTTAAATCTGGCTGTAAAATACTCACTATGCTTTCATTTTCTTAAATCTTATCTCCCATGTTTCTAAAACCTCAAAATTCCCTTAAAAAAATGTAAGTACATTACCTCAGTGTATAGCCCTGTGCAGCATGTTAGTCAATAGTACTGTGCTCCAGACTTTGTAGCAGCAGTTTCATGAAGGCCCTTTACTGTTTCAACATGACAATGATCCCGTGCACAAAGCCAGAAAGAAATGGTTTTCTGAGTTTGCTGTGGAAGAATATGACTAGCCTACACAGAGACCTAAACCCAAACCAACACCATTGGAATGAATTGGAACACTGATTATGGCCCTATTCATGGAGACCCAACGTTTTCAATCTCAAATAAATAAAGGCGACATTTATTATATAAAAGGTCGTTTTCGGGGCACACACAGTCATTTTACATGTCTCTGACATGAAGGAAAATGGAAGGAAATGAATGATAGCTGAATTCCATTTAGCTGCTTCTGTTTCAGGGTGCCGATATTGTGCATGCTGGCTCACCGTCACACTGTCATGATTTACTGGGACATTTGAATAGAAAGCAGCCATTGTTAATGTTATTAGGAACACCTGTGCTTTTCCTTCTATGGCAAATCCAGACCCGTGTCCCAAAATCCATACTAATGAATACAGTATGTACCATAATCGTCATAGTTTACTGTTTTGGCAGTTAATACACCAAAATATCAACATACTTTACCACTTTATACTGACAGGAAAATATGCATTATATGTAATGTTGGATGTGAATTAAGCTGCAACTCAGAAAAGCCACAGCCAATTAAACTTCACAAGGAGACATCAACATGTTTTTCCTTAGTTCAGCTATTTTTTTTTTTTTATTTTTTTGCTTTGTAAGAATATTTATACTGTATGATATTAGGACATGACATGAATTTCTGCAAATTTCTGTGAAAAAGGTCTGTTAGTCATAATTAGTGCATCGGTTCTGGAGTTGTGACCTGTTTGTCAAGGTCATTTTGAAGTCACATTGACCTTTGATTCAAAAGTGTCACCAAACCATTGTCCGACCAAATGTAAAATATAGTCATCAGTTCTTTAGCTGTGACCTTGACCTTTTGGTCTCCACCAACTTCTGAACAAAAATCTGGCTCAACTAGTCTCTAACTGTGTCTGTCTGCTGTTTGGTGCTGAACAGGTAGTGTAGAGAAGGTTTTTAGAGCTTTTTCTTTGGTAAAAACAGCTTCCTAGTGCTGCCTAAAATGCAATGAGAGTGAACCAAAACAGTAATGTTGCCGGCTAGAAGACCAAAACACAGAACTGAAAGAACTCTGCAGAGTTGAGGACAATGGCAGAGTTGGGTAATTGGGAACACTTGAGTCTCAAACTTGCACTCAACATTGAGGCTGTTATGGTAGAAGATTATATATATATTTGTAATACCCGTGCCTTTTGAACAACATGTTCAGTAATCACATTTATCAGGTACCTTGTGAGCAAGTGTTTCACTGCAGACACTAACAGGTAATGAGAAGAGACACAGGACACCTTTGACAGAGTCACATCATGCTTTTATGACGAAAAGGAGTTCATTTACAAGACAGACAGTATATAAAACATACATTGAAATAAAAAAAGAACTCATATGTGTTTTATAGACAAGTACATTATTATCTCATCCTTCCCTTTGAGACCAAGCAGCCATGGGACTGAGCAAAACATGGGTGAACCCTGGAGAAAAGAAGCAGCAGTTAAATCCTATATTACTATAACTACACTATTTACAGTTCAACAGTCATTGTCCTCTGTCAGACATGGCAAGGAGGTCTACAGATTATATGACACGATATGGCTAATAGTTCTAATATGTACAGTTTCTGTTCTTCACATCCAAGGATCCACAAATCACTGTGCAAAATATACATTTTATAATTCAGGTACAGTCAGATGTTCTTGAGTCCGAACTTGGTACTTACTGTATAACAGTCTCTATTATGAGCCTGTTATGTGCTTTAATGATTGATCAGTTCACACCACTCCGTCTGACAAGCTGAAAAACTTGTCTTCATGTTAGCTCTGTATTTAATTGGAGCGCTCAGCACCCATTCCTAGGTTTCAGAAGGCCGTAAGGACCGTGTCAACGAGGAACCAAATGCATTAGCACAAAAACTAAAGAGTGATCAAGGAAAAATGTTCTGAAATGCTTTACGAGGTCGGTGCCAGGTTGATAGAGAGACAGAGAGACAAGACAGAGAGAGAAAAGAGAGCGAAAGAGAGAGGAGAGAGAATAGGAATAAGCCAATTTTGAGACATAAATTTCAATATTTTCCATTAGAGGGCTCCAACAAATACAGAGCTATACCAACAACAGCTTCCTCTGAAGAGTAGGAGAAGTAAGAGAGCGTTACATCGGCTCAGACCTTGAAAAAGACTGTCGAAATCTGGCACCATCTCGTTCTTAAAAGAGGAAAAGTAAAATCATCTTGTAATGTGGAAACCTAGGAATGAGTGCCAACCAGGTCTGTAAGAGCTCTGTACGCCTCCTCCTACTCCAGAGGGATTGTGGGAGAGTGACAAGGTTCAAGATAGATCAATGAAAGTATGCCATTAATAATCTTATCCCCATACAGCATTGATCAGTCCCACCAACCTGCTTGGAATATCAATCATTTTATCTACAGCTTACACATCTGAGCAGATCCTCTATGTTTGGATAGATATGTGTAAAAGTACAATCATCCAAAGTAAACAAATGCTTCTTTTGTAAGATACACACTCCTTTTAAATATTCAGGAATACTGGAGCAGGTGATTGTTTGCCCCTGGCTTTGATTTGTACCCATTTAAAAACCCTTTTATGGTCTCACTTGCTCTTACAGTAAGTTTGTGTCAACCAGTCCCATGGCCAGCAACAATGGCACCCATAGCTCTCCATACAAGTGTAGGTGAGAGTTTGGCAAGACCAATCACTGTATACAAAAGGCATGCATAGATTAAACCTGCTAAGACCACAAGAAAGAAAGTTTTGTTCTCTAGAGAGGAACTGTTTCTCATATGCAGAGAAAGAATTATGCTGTAACATTTTTATTAAGGTTTGTTATTGTTTGTTGTGATGGTGGTGAGACTGGAGGGGGCATCAGAAAGTATTCATCAAATCTACAGACTGAGTCCCAGCAACTTAGGCCAGATCGGGTCGAGGCCTCTCCTGATAACTCGAACAACGCCCCAGACACCTAAAGTGGAGAGGAGGTCACCCTATGGCTATAAGAAAATCAGTGAGGCACTGACTTATGAAGCTAACAGTCAATTTGCTCTCTTCAGTGTTTTACTGTATGAGACCCAAAGCTGTTATTTATTTATTTTCCCACCACATACAATACTGGCACATCAGCATCAGCAGTATGGTCCCATTTGTTGCTATTACCCACGGTGACCACTTGGGGTCAGTATTGTCACATAGAAAGGGGGGCACTTGCAATTGTTTGGTCAAGGTTAAGATGAAGCAATTGTCTGTCCAAGGTGCTTTAAACAATACTTCAACAGTGCTCTGCTTAATGTCCAATTATGCCTGAATATCAGTTAACAGTGACTGCTTTGCATTACCATCTCTTTGTCCAATCAGAGAAAGCCACCATAACCAGCAGATATGCAAAAAGGTAATATAACTCAAATGGTATGAGCATAACACACACTTCTGAGAGGCCTGTTATGGAAATGTGACTAATAAGCCAAGTAATCACCCAATCAGCCGAGCTCGCTTTGCCGTCATCCCATTACTGCTCCTCTCAACTCAAGTCTAATCCAATCACAACAGCAGCTGCAGGATCTAGAGTAGGAGATGGATTCATTTAGAGCTAATATGGAGTCAGAAATAACACGAACCCAAGGTTTTAGAAATGCAGTCCTAAAGGTAAGACTGAAATTGGTCTTTGCTGGCCAAACAGTGAGATAACAGCTAAGAGGACTGAAAGCAAAGCCTCCTTTAACTGAGAACTAGAACAGAAACAGAAGAGCAGTTCAGGCTTGGCTGGTGATGACGCCATGATTATTGGTGTCTCAGGGTTTGTCTTATTTTGGTCTGCGTCTTTGAAGAGTTCCCCAGTGGAAGGTATCCTAATAGTGTGGTTGCTGCTGCTTGTTGTAAATGGGGCGTCTAGACTACAGTACACCAACCCCAGGCAAGGACGAACCGGAGGAGGGAGCGGGGGATCGCTCAGCCTACTTTCTCAAGTATTACGGCAGAGGAGATGAATCAAGCTCAGCTCCACTGGTATCTAAACCCTGACAAGTCTGTCAGCCAGACTGAGGCAACGGCTTGGCTGTGTGTTCTGGTACCTCTTTTTATAGAGAAAGGGTCAGCTCTAGGAGTTAAAATGTTGAATGTATTTCTAAAGCTTTTGATGATGGGATAAAATTTGGAGGGGAAAGGAAAGATTTTTTTCAAAGTGTATTTAGCTTGAGGCAAAACAAGTTTCAAGGACTCACAAGGTTTGAATAGATACAAGCGCTAATTTTCAACCCTGACCAACTTGAAAATGTCAGCTTTCAGTGAACGGACTGCTTTAATGCTACACCTTTTCCAAATGACTCAGTGTACCACAGTAGGCAGAAAGTGAGTGTAGGCTCATGGTCACGGTATTACAACAACCCAACCCCCCCCTTCTACATTTCTAAGTTAAAGTGTGACAGATATCATCAAAGAAAATACATACAGTACAGTCCATGGGTTTTCATATCCAGAGAAAGATCCCAGAGTGGCACTGTGCAGAGAGGGAAAGTTCCAGAAATGGTTCTTTAGGAATGAGTAGGGCGTGAAATGGGAACTAATGTTTTTTTGTGTGTTTTTTTTAAGGGAACCTGGGTCACCCCTTTCATCTTTTGTCTCGACTGATCCAATCACCGCTCCGTTTTTTCGATGGCATCACGAGGAGCAACAAATCATAACACGACAACACTAACTCACCGACCGCACATTACACGTGTCTACTACCACACAACCATATTCCAGCCTAATACTGTGAACAGGGACAACGAGGGGTGGAAATGTTAAGAAGACAGGGAACAGGAAGAGGGGGGAGGACAGGTGAAGAAGGGGAGAAGGGGAGGAAGATAAAATGAAATACACCCTCATCTACGCTTACATTTGTGATTGATGTTTACACGATAACACCATCGACAATCACTACGGACATTCTCAATGTCTTCTAAACCTAGTTTTCACTGAGAAATACGGGGGAATGGAAAAACAGAAGGGTCGGCTCAGGGAAAGGAGACGTCCATGAAGGCATCGTCCTGTTCTCAACACAAAAATGGCCACTGACACTGTTAAGGGCAGTGTAAAAAACCAGGCCAATTTGTTCGTCTATTCTCATTCAGCCTCATGAATCTTTAACAGCTGTTCAGTTATTCATCCTGACACAGAAGCCGCAGTTTCATCATTCCTCACAAGGGACAAAAATTGAGTTTGCAGGATTTATTTTGCAAGTTTTGAGAGTCTGAGGTTCTTTCTTACCTGGGGCAAATTATTTCCAAACCATAAACTTCTCTTTGTTGGTGTGCTTTAAATCAGTGATTCCCAACTTACATTATGAACCCATAAAATGAAGCAAGGTGTACTTGAAACCTCTCATGATTGCACACGTCAATGAGTTGAATAGCAGCCTATTAGAAATACACTAGGCCTATAAATCCATCACTAGATGTTTGTGTAAAGTCTATAGGTTTTTAATAACTAGGCTTCTAGCTAGTTTCAAACTAGTGATTTAGTAAATCATGTTTCTATAAAAATTTTAAATGTCTCAGACTTTAGTAATGTGTTATATTATTGTAATGTCCCAATAAATATCTGTGACACAGTACAATAATCAGCTATGTAAACAGAAAGTGACTGTAGCATCATGGGCTGTTACAGTTTTGTACAAAGGCTAAATCCTAGGTGCAGCGGCCCAGGGTTTGACTGAGACATCCCCCTTTTGCTCTTCTCCACTCTTCTGTCACTCTTTAGCTGTCACTATTAATTAAAAGGCAATAAAATACCAAAAAAAGAAAGAAAAGGTCACTGTAGCATCATAAGCTGTAAAGTGGCTTTTACAATTGGTCTCCAAATGATATACTAAACTTAACTGTCAGTCCTGTAAAGGCCGGTATGACTTTGTTATGCAGTATAGAATGACTGGGAAATATCTAAATATTACTAGCATTATGTTTTGTAAATTTGAGGGATATTGGGTAAAATATTCCTCGGTTTTTTATTAAATAGCATTTTGATCAAGTGTCAGGTCAGATGTCAACCATATAAAATTACCTTTTTTAGCCTTCCCTGTCCACTGGTTCAGTTAGAGTTACACCTGGCTGTTACTGTCTGTAAATATTAACAACTAATCTCTGACATAAGAACTAGTTTGTGTGGAGCAACCAATTTTAATTTAATGTAAATACACTTTCAACTTTAACCAAAGGCTATGTTAAGTTAAATTTAGTATAGAATAATTTTGTGCAGCCCCTCTTTGTTATCCTGTTAACTATCTTATGACACCGCCAATTCAACTTGTGACACTAGATTAGGAACCACAGCTTTAGATTATGTCTCTTATCTTCAAAATATTACCCTTCCTGGTTTCAGTTGATAAGCACTGAGATGTGAACAGGCTCACGCACTGTCTAGTGAATGGGAATGTTATTAAGTGTTGAGAACAGAGCGGCCCCACATGGAGGACGAGGAACGTTAAAACGGTAAACAGCCAAAAGGTCACGGAGAACAACAACTGAAGAAATTAATATGGAGGACAAACAAGAAGCAACGGAACACTTCAAAGAAAGTTTTTTGTTGTTTTTTTTCGTTAAGAAAACCACAGTACTACTCTCCACTATACGATGCACATGGTGTGGGTAGGGTTAACACGACTTCATTTACATTTGAATCCTCGATCTCCAGCCAGGGACCCCTCCCAAAGGAGGACCCAGTGGGGGTGTGTGTGGGGGGGTGGGGGTGAGGAGGGGGGATGCACTGGGCTAGGGGGGCAGAGACATTCGCACACTGACCATCTCAGAGACAGAGAAAGGGCAGTGAGCGTCACACTGCATTATCAATTTGTATGTTTATTCATGTGTAACTGTGATTGTTGTTCCTATCAATTCAATAACCTTGATGTGGTTTAATCTCTTGTGTGTGTGTGTGTGTGAGTGTGTGTATATGTGTATGTTATGGGGTGCAACTTTATGCAAGCCCAGCGACAGCAGATGGTCTTGTGATCATCACAACAGCTTGTAAGATGGCAGTAGCAATAATTGTTATTATATAACTGAATAATGCACGTTACTGTATAAAAAACAACCTACACAAACTATGGCTTTGTTTCTTCACTCACAAATTTACATCAGTTCTCTCAGAGAGAATGAATTTTGGCTTTATGGCTCTACATACAGTATTGCTGGAATGTTATATTTGAACAGAGTATGTGTGGTTCACTCGCTCTGCAGGGTAGTTATTTCACTTTTCCTGAGAAAAGGTGCCATACATGTGTTGCAATGTGTGCTTTCCACTACTAGGATGAGTGTGTGTGTTTATGTTTATGTGAAGACCCCTACATCGTCACTGTGTGTCCTCTGTCTGCCTCTGAGTGTGACCCAACTCTCCAGGCTGCTCCCCCCTGGCAGCGCTGGGAAGGTCAGGCGTCCACTAACACAGCAGAGGGCAGGGACGGAGGGTGGAGGCCGGCAGGTTGACCCTCTCCTGTTGATGAAAGAGCATAAATGGAGCAGGAAGAAGAGGTCACATTGACTTCTTTTTTCCCCCATCATCCCCTTCTACCCAGCAACCCTCCTGTGGCCACCAGCCTCAGTCCCCACTTGCTCTCTCTTGTGTTGGTTGCTATGGTTACTGCGACGGCCCGTGTCAGGTGGGCTTGACTTCCTAACCAAACCCTCCGGGCCACGGGCAGCCACAGCAGCTCTCGGTCAGTGCGCTCGTCCCAAACTCACACAGCTAACGTTGTTGCAACATCTCACAAAGAAGAAAAGGCCAAATTGTGTTTCTTTTGTCTATGTGATATTTATGTGAACGATCCAAATCCATCGTTCCTTATTAGATATTATTATCAGACCATACGTTACATGCATTAAGCTTTATCTCGTTAAAACAAATATGATAATGTTAATGGTGTTTTTGACCTCCTCATTGCTGTGGTTAGAATATATAAAGGTGGCTGTAATATGTTCTATAGAAAAACATATTCAAACTGTCTTTTAAAGCAATGTTTTATTCAGTGGTATGAACTTACAACTTAACTATCAAGTGCATTTCTACATGCATGATTCTTAACAAGGCAGACTTTAGAAGAGCATAGCTACAAATTCTATAAATGGATGTTCAGGTCTCCCTGTAATACATATATTTTAAAATCCCTGAATGCACAGAATACAGTGAAGGGAAATCTAAATGGAAAAGCAAATGTATTTAATTTTCTCATTAATGTGACCAAGAGACTGGACTACCAGTATTCCACAGCTCAATAATCATGCCAATTTCCAAAACTTATCTACTATAATTCTTAACTCTAAGCATGAATGACCAGTAGCTCTTTCAAATCTATCAATACTGATCCTTACAGTATCCTTCAAACATGCTTTTCACCAAAAGCTGAATAAAACCACTGAGAGACAGAGAGATCAGGGTCAAACCAAATCAAGTCATGGCTCAAGTTTTGATGTGGGCGCTCAATTTTAAATAGAGCCATAGACAGGAACTTATATTGTGCTTTCAAACTTCTTTGCGAGTTAGTGGCTGTGTGTGTTTGCGTGTGTCAAACACGTTTTTTGGGACGTGCTCATGCCTCCCCCGAGGGACCCCTGGCTGCGTTGTTTCATATCATCTTCATGTTGAACTTCCTGGTCCCTCCCGAAGAGCCTCCAGTGGCGGGTTCAGATTTCCGGAAAGAGTACTCCACTGTGAAGTTGTTCTTGCGTTGGCCGCGTCCCCGGCTCCACACGAACAACAACAGGAAACAGAAGAGGACCACCCCCAGGAAGGTGATGCAACCCATTGCCGTGGAGACCAAGATGGTGGTCAGGTCCAAGGTGAACTTGAGGAAAACACGCGTGCTGTTCAGATTTGTGTCGTTGAAGAAGTCACCGCTGTACAGCGAGCGGTTGAGAAAGAAGGCTGAGGCGGCATCTAGCGGCTGGCCACGCACTGTGAGCGTGGCGAAGTAGGTATCATTGCCTCCGGCGTTACTGGCAATGCAGATGTATGTACCGCTGTCAGTAAGCTGGGCGTAGCGGATCTCCAGGGTGCCACTAGGGAGAACAGTAATGCGCCCTGAACTCTTAGCTGTGATCCTTCTGCGCTGTGGGGAAATCCAGACAATAGCAGGTACAGGTTCTCCTTCAGCTCGACACAGAAAACTCACTGGCTGGCCCTCACGAGCGACCACCTGCAGAAGTTGGAGGGAAGGAGTGCATGGACTAATAAATGCAACAGAATATATACACAACAAAATGACACTATTACAGAATACTTTTTATGCTTGTAGACACAATTAGCATTGCCTCAGCAATCAAACCATGAGCATTTATTCATTCAAGTATCAAACCTAAATGTAATCATCTTCATTACCTGCTGCAGCTTACGGTTGCGTATCTTAGGTTTCTGGCATGTAAAGTGATCGAAGAGTGCAGAATCGGTGAAGGCGCTGAGGCTGACCCCTTGCACCTCCACCGGCCCCGCACACACCGGCACTCTGCCGTCAAAGTTGAGGGTCTTGCGTCTTTGCAGGATCCACAACAGACGGCAGTCACACATCAGGGGGTTCCCATCCACTCTGAGGGTCTCCAGACTGTTGACAGAGTGGAAGGAGCCCTCTTCCAGAGTCTGCAGGTCGTTGGAGGAGAAGTTGAGGACCCGGATCTGTCGGAGGCCTCCAAGGGCATGGAGCTCCACTGTCATCAACCCTGTGCTTACCATGATGAGCTCCTTCAGCCTCAGCAGGTCCCTGAAGGCCCAGGGCTCTAGTGTGGTGATGGGATTGTAGGACAGGTTGAGGTGGGTGAGGTGCACCAGGTTCTTGAAGGAAGCTGAAGGGACAGAGGTGATGTTGGTGTTGGTGATGGAGAGCCAGTGGAGGTCCAGACCCTGGAAACTAAGAGGGGAGATGTACTCCAAGTATGGCCAGTGATCAATGTCCAGACCCCGCAGGTTGAAGAGCTTGCGGAAGTTTTGGTCCTCCAGGGCAATAATGCTGAGGTGCCGGAGGCGAAGGGTGACCAGGCTGCGAAGGTAAGACAGCGTCTGGCCAGAGATGGATGTCAGGTTGCAGCGCTCTATTGTGAGATCTTCAAGCCCCAGCAGCCCTGAGAATGCCTGGGAATCAGGAACATAAAGGGTGTTTAAACCTAAAATAAGACATTGTTATTCATTTTACATATATGCATGATGGCCAACAGGGAATGTCTTGTATATATTGTTTCTGTTGAGAAGTTCTAGGAGTTTGTGGGGCTGCGAGTGCTGTATAAAATGGACACAAATACATACAACACATCATCTTCCTTTGTTAAAGGAATAATTCAACATTTAAATATAAGGCTACAGCCAGCAGTCTGTTGGTTAGCTTAGCATGAAGACTGGAAATCATTTTTTCACTTCAGTTTTTGTATGTATTAAACAAATACAATTTACTTTGTCAATTTGTGAGTGTCAGAGATGCTGATGGACGATTTTGTTACTTTTGAACATCTGTTCCCTGTGTTTTCAGTCTTTGTGCTGAGCTAACCCAGTTGCTGACTGTAGCTTCACATTTAGCGTATAGACATGAGAGTGATATCAATTCTCTCACTTGGCCAACTCTTGGAAAGAAAGTGAAAAAGTGTATTTCCCAAAGCATTGAACTACATATTTCTGAGCCAAATCAGGAATTGATACTGGCTCTATATCTGGCAAATAGATGCTTGGCATTACTGCCTATTTAAAACTACAGAATATATTCCAGTACTATAAATATGAAAGTGTGATCATCTGGGATCTAATTTCCAAGGAGGAGAAAAATACAGCAAACGTTCTTCCATCCAGTTTTTCATTAGTAACACAGTCACGATAGAGACAAGATGCTGGCGAGATTACCTTGTGGGATATATAAACCAGGTCGTTGTCTCCCACCTCCAGATGTTTCAGACTCCTCAGATCCTGGAAGGTATAGTCCAATAAAATCACCATCTTGTTCTCGCTCAGGTCAAGGCTGGTCAGATTGCCCAGCTTGGCGAAGGCCCCCATGGGCACTAACTTCAGCTGGTTCCCCCTTAACTTCAGCACTTTAAGACTCTGGAGGGTGGCGAAGGCATTCGGCTCTAATGTGGCGATGAGGTTCTCACTGAGGTCCACTTCCTCAAGCCGTGGGTACGGTGCCAGGTCACCAGCTTGCACCCAGCGGAGCCGGTTCTTGCTGAGGTCCAGAAGTTGTGTCTCCGTGGGGATCCCCTCTGGGATGTTGGTGAGCCGCCGACGCTGGCACGACACTGACCTCAGCTGAGCCGAGCACTCGCACCGTGGCGGACAGGCCTGGCTACTTCCTGGCAGCGTCAGGGTTATTATTGCAACCAGAAAAGCACCCAGGACCCATCGCCACACCCTCGGCCATGGCACTAAGGCAAGCCCACCAGGGCCAGGAGAGCCAATCATGGCCCTGGTCCTCTGACTCCTCGCCTGTCGCAGGCAGGGTCAGTTCACCATACACCTGCAAGATTTTACAGAGAGAGGGAAAACAGGAACAGGATAGAAGCAAAGTAAGAGGGGAGAAACAGAGAATATATGAGAAGAATGAATAAAGACACGATACTAGAGAATCTACCATCTATCATCTCCCAAGCTCATAAAAATTACATCCACACAGCTGTAAATTATCAATGCTTCCTGCAGTTTAAGAAATATTGTAGGGAAAGCTGTAGAGACTTTAGACATATCATGACACGGCATTAAAATACAAATGACGAGACCCTATTAAAGGAACATGGACCAGAATAAGATAATACCCGTAAGATAATTTGTCTTCTCACTAATTCATCTATGGCTTCAGTTAGGGAACTAGGACAGCGGGAACCATGCGAGGGAGACTCTTCTGCTTCAGCCGAATTCATGCATGTTGCATCTCCTCAGCTCTCCTTGCAGCACTGAGACCGTCTGCTCCATTTTGACAAACACAATGAATTTATTATCACCACGCATAAACATAGACTGAGCTCCTCAACAATCACGCTATGCCTGCAAGCCACACACACCGCACCTATGAAATGTGAGGTGTTTGTATCACTGTGTACTCAAGTCATAATATGTGTTTGATCAGGTATGTGCTGATGAATGTATGCGTAGGACGTGGCATTTTACTGGGTATGAATTAAAAATCATTTTGGTCCTCCAAGCACGAAGATAAGATGAATCACTCATGCTTTAACATTCCTTCAGGCAACCTGTCATCTCACCCACACACTGTTTTCAACTCAGAGACAGTCAAAGAGCACCTGGCATCAGATCTGGAACACAAAAGTGTCCATCTAGTTATCAGGAAGTTGTGTGAATACTTTAATACTTGAGGAAAATGTTGCTAAACACAAGGTTTTCGCTCTTATGCTAGAAATTCTCACCAGAAACCCCCAGATGTTAACTCTTGACCACTTTCTTGGTGGTGTGTTTTTTAAGATGAAGTGGAAATGAGAGAGAATATATCATCATCACCAGGGAGTATCATGTTAAAATGCACTCTGATGCTGGCAGTGGAGTGAGGCCGAGCCAAACACATTAATAATATATGGGTTGGTTTGTGCTTAATGGGCAGTGTTCAGAGGGCGAGTCACACAGTTAAAAGAGCCAAAACTCACAATTTTCTCTCTTTGCTGTAGGCTTTGCCTCAAGTCTCTTTCTAGCAAGTTGGATTTAGAAAACAGTCTCTTGAACGCCTAATCACATCTGACTGTTTCAATGCGTTGGCATCAATGGGATCAAACAGGATGAAATGGGATTTAAGCTAAATTTAAATGATGGCAGACAAATTCTTTGCACACATGCACAACACTCAGATATTTTCACACATGATCACACATACACAAACTGCAGTAAAACCCCCCAGAGATCGTGTCTCATCTACTCAGCCCCAGGGTGGATAAGTCCTACAATTTTTGACAGGCCTGGAAAACACTCTGTTTACAGATCCCGTATCTGAAGGATCTGGTATAAATCTGGCACAGTTTTTCCTTTCGCTGGGAGACAAAACGCAGGCACAGAGAGGCTGCTGTGCAGACTGCTGCACAAACTGACCCAGTTCTCAGCAGCAACTCAGCCTCGCACTGTCAACCAGCAACAACTCACCATGACCACAACAACAGAGCAGCAAACCTTAGCATCTCAGTGGAATAGAGCCCAGGAGAGTAACAGAGAGATCTGAAAAACAAACAGGAGTATACAGATGTTCTAAAATAACGAGCTATTTATAAGACGAAATCAAACAATATTTGCATCCGTGTCCCCACTCTGGCGAGATCTTTTTGGCACTGACGTGATGATATTTCCTTTCCTGCACAGCACAGTTTTCTCAACTAAATGCTTAGTTGAATGGTGGATCTCTAATGGCAATGTCGGTCAGTCTGTAGGTCAGTCCATCCATTCCTTTGGTCCAGACTGAAATACCTTGACAACTAATGTATCAAATGGATTGCCAGCAGATTTTGAACAGACATTCATGGTCCCCATAAAAGGAATTTTAATATCTCTGATGATCTCCTTGGTAACTCTACTAGCAGGTCATACTCTTCACTTATTCAGTTAAATATATACCGGATGGACTGGCACTAAATTTCAGGAAGACATTCATGGTCCCCGCAGGATGACTCTTACTGACTATGGTGACTTTTCCTGTAGCGCATGAATTAAATGTTTTTGTTTTTTTATTGAGATATTCAGAAAAACATATCTCCTATCAGATGGACTGCCATTAAATGTAGTACATAAATTCGTGGTCCCTTGTTTATCTCTTGACCTTCCCTTCTTTAACTAAATTCAGGTCAAAGTTTCTGTTTATGACTTAATACCCTAAAACTGTAGCCTCAGCTATATTTTGTGTTGATTGCAAATTTGAAAATGGAAGCATACAGGAGTATGCTGAACATCAAAATGCTAGCATTATCATCATGACCATTTTAACATGCTGACATTAGCATTTAGCTCAAAGAACTTCTGCACTTAAGCCACTAGCATTGACTCTTAGCTATATTGTGAATGTATATAGTGTCTGTGTGTGTGTCAGTGCACATCTGCCCAGCTCTTAGGCAGTCTGATGGATGTAACCTGTCTCTACACCCCCCCTGAGAGTCATCCTACGGGTCAGAGGCAGTGTCGCAGCATGAATCAATGAGATGACATCGTGGAGGCAGACAAGGTCCTCACTGCTGGACTCAAGGACAGGCAGGGATCCTTAAAACACACACACACACACACACACACACACACACACACACACACAGTTCATCAAACACATGGACCCACAGGAGTTGCGCATCATCCAGTGAGCAGGCGAATAAAGACACACCGTTACTCTCACTCTCACAGCAAATACTGAGGATAGTTTTTCTACTATTGATGCAGCCAGTGGTTTTATCACAGCCTGTGTCCTGTGGATCGTACTACTTCTGTATCTGCTTCAACATGAAAGAGCACAGGGTCACAGTCTTACAGCTTGATCCTGTTCCTGGACAACCAACACATACAAGATCACACTAGGAGTCCCCAAATCCACACTACAAACTGTAAATTAACATTTGCCAGATGTTAAGGAAACAGCAGAGGCAAAATCCACCACTATACAGACAGTAAGGAAGGCATATTCTGCCACAGACCAGCTGTCCAGGGAGATACAAGAAGAAGAATGGGAGGAAAATCAGCCCTGAAGCTAAAAATAACTGAATTCTGACCTAATGAGCAGATGTTGGGAACCAACATCCCTGTCCAATCACACATATATCACCAGCCTGCACAGACACACAGATGACCATGACCAGATGTCTCTAACACTGGTTCAGGATAGTCTGATTAAAAACACCATGTTGCCAAGAAAAGGTGCTTCCCAAATAACAAAAATGGAGCGAAGCCTGCGAGCTAGTTCAGGCAGTCAACTCGAGCTGCGCTGATATACACACATGACATGCCGCACTCCATAATCACTAACCAAGGGCACCCCATCTGGCGGTCTATTTAAACTGCACAATTTCCCAGCTCTCCCTCTGCTCTGTCAATGCCGCTGTTGCCCTGCATCCGTATTGCTGCTGCTGCTCTGTAAGCTATTGCTGCCTGCTGCACTGTAAGACCCACCACCACCCCAGCAACCACCTGTAGGCTCCGGCAGGGGGTTTAAGGTATTTGCTCATCACTCCCCAATACCTCTATGTAAACACATCTGCGGGGAGTGATGAGGTCGGAGCCTAGACGCAAAAATTTAAATATGCTATGTTGCTTTAATAAACATTTCAAACGTGAGTTGTCTGACTGAAATAAGGTTGTGGTCTGGTGTGTTTTATTGTGTTTGTGTGGCAGTGTGTCTGACCATAAATAGGTCATCCATGATGACTGGTAGCCTTTATAAGCCCTTATATTTGGCCAGCAGAGCGTGGATCTCCTCTACCCTATCCCTCCGTCCTCAGCTTTGTCTCTCTCTCTCTCTCTCTCTCTCTCTCTCTCTCTCTCTCTCTCTCTCTCTCTCTCTCACAGACACACACACACACACACACACACACACACGCTCGATAGGAACCTCTCAAAGACACACAATTCAGCATCAGTGAGGTTGGAGCAGTCAAGCAGTCAGCAGGTTATTAGAGAAGGCTTTTTACATTTTATTGTTGCAAACAAACCGAGGTGCAAGCTTGACACATTTTTACTTTTCATGGGAAAGCTGACAGTTTGTACTTTCCATTGCTAAGTAGTTATAAGTCCAATATTAAATCTGTGCTTAGTCACTCCATTTTAAGCCCAAGTCAAGTGTGGAGGAAAGCTTAGCAGCTCTCTGGAACAGTTGCACTAAAGAGGGTGAGAGAGGGGGAATGTAAACATCAGGAGGTAAGACAACTGTGGTAAAGGGAGTTATGATTAAAAGGGCGTAAATTCTCAGTTTGGCCATAATAATGTACAAGAAATATCAACTAGTTCAAGTCAATATGAAGTTTTGTTTGTAAGTCGGGAAAATGAAATCAAGTTTATTTCTGTCTCTTCTAATCAAAGTTTAAGTCTTAAAAAAGGATTCACAGTGCCCACATTGTAAGCAAAAAAACAAAAAACGACGGCCAGACTTGCAATGACAACAAAGGAAAACTGTCATCACAACATAATTAGGCGGAACAAAAATGGAAGGAGCCCTGGGTGGGGGTTCACAGAGCAGGATTCCCATAGTGGCGAGGCGTACAGTGCCTGGAGTGGGAACACAGAGATTAATTATGAATAAAAACTGGAACAGAAAGAACACAGAAATAATGAACAGAACACAAACACTTGGTCAACATCCACAAAGTCTCAAATATTTGTCTACATCATGGCCGTCATCACAGCGACACCCAGTAAAAGATTTGACCATAAACCACAGCCCCGAGTGTTCACAAAGAAAAACGGAAAATTTTTCAAGCTGACATCAGTTCAGTGGGCTGCGGTGTGCAGTGCGTGCAGTTGCTTTAAGTTTGCAAAGAGACACAATACTTGCGA